AGCATTAACCAAAGGAAAGAATGCTTAAACTACAATCCAGCAATTTCATCCTTTATGGGCCCTAATACACAGTATCTCAAGAGATACGAATGTAACATTAGTTGCATAAAGCCACCTAACCATGAAGAGAGGGAAAAGCTTTATTACGTCACTCCACTGCTGCCAATTAAATGAAAATATATGAGACCTAACATATATTGTAACACCATCACAGATTAGAATTAGATGATTAAAATCATCTCTCTGCTGATTCTTCCATCAAGAGGAAGCTGAGCCAAATTCAGAAGTGAAATGAGGAGGATAATACAGCTTGAACTGAAGGCTGAGAGCAAGTACACAGCAATCAGCGTTTAACAATGCTTCCACTCAGACTTAAGGCATCACTTCATTAACATCATTCAAAATATTTACCTTGTTATTGTAAAGTACAATGCATTTTAGGCAGGGCACTCTACGTGCTCAAGGTGATCCTCCTAAGTTAAGAAAACGTTTGTAACTTCTACCTTTCAGATATATGCCATACATAAGTCTGTATTCAGCTGCCTGAATCGTTCATCTGAGTGATTACTGATGTGCAATTTGGATTCCCTGACACCAAAAGAGTTTTCTTGAAAGTATCACTTCCAAGCTGTACCCAAAACTACCACTGCCTGAACTCCTTGGCTGCTCTAGTCAGCGAGGAAAAAAGCAATCTCTGTGGAAGAATATGAGCAAATCAGAAAGGGATAGTTACAGGTATCGTTTCAGATTCTTTCACTTCAAGATCAATTTTAAAAGATTTGAATATATTAAATACTAGAGAAAAGCATAATCATTATAAAAAGGGAGGACAGCTTTGATACTTAACTAGGAAAAGAAAAATAAAAGTGTGTAATAGAGCAGAAAAAGATTACTGTATCTGCAGAAAATCCTTTCAGGAGCTACTTTTTGTGGTGACAGCAACAGCCCAGCCTCAGCAAATGTCCAAGCCTCAGATTTACGTGGAGAACTTCTGCATCTATCTGATAGCCCAGGGACAGCATTCACCACATGATGTTAGAGGGGAAACTTTGGGAAAGCAGTCCTGTCAACTTCTTAAGACTCAAAGCCTTAAGTAGTTGCATGACTGTATCTCAGTGGAAGTACTCATTTTTTAGGTTCCTCAAAAGGGAACCAGCAAAAAAGAACAAGAAAAAAAAAAAAATCCATAAAACTAGACAACACAGACTGAATCAGTAAACTCTGAATCATGTAAACTATTTTAAGTATATAGTTTTAAAGAAAATTATAACATTAAAAAAGTAACTGCAATTTAGGAAATGTCCTCAATTGCTGTAAATTAGCATATTTGCACTGAAGTCCCTAGTCCTACGCAAAGACAGGATGAGTTTTTACTCTATTTTCAAAAACACCTAAAATATTTCCCAAGCCACTGAATAAGTGAACATACCTTTTTCCACTTTTTCAACAAACATTTTGATTTTCTTGTACCCTAGAAATTCTTTTACCCTAGAACCCTTAGTTGTTAAGAAACTTCTGTAAAATAAAACGTATGCAAAGTTACTTGTGTGATGACTGATTATGTCCTTCAGTTACTGCCACCTCCAGCCTTCCTCGCCACCATTCCACTCCTCACTGCAGAAAAGTAAGCGCTAGTACTGACTTCTGTAAATTAAGAATATAGCCAGGTGTGATTCTACCCCACAAGGCAGCAGTTCAATACTAGCACAACTTTTTTGACATCAGAGGAGCTACAAGGCTAAAGCTGGTGCCAAGGAGTGGAGTCAGGTCTGGCCTTGCTACTTCTCCTACCCAACTATGATGACTGCTGTGACAGAGAGTTCGCAAGAAGTTGTTTAGGAACTAAAGGACTGTTACAGACAAGTCCCTGGTCAGAAGTGGGCAAGGTCAGAGAGATAGAAATCCAGCGCTGAAGAAGCAGTTATTTAATGTAACCCATCCAAATGCTTCCTTTTAACTTCTACATTCTCTTGTCTTTATTGTCATTCATCACAAAAGAAAATGAAAACCATAAGAAATACTATATGAGACTCAGAGATGGTAGCCTAATTCCAGTATTATCCACACCTAAGTCAGCCCTCATTTTAGCACAATTAAATTGAACAAACACTACTATGGCACACAGACATCCTTCCGTACATCCTAGCACAGAATAGACCAGAATGTGTTTATTAAAAGCTTACGGGCACATCTAATTTAATAGCCACAAGTTCTTTCTGGCCATACTTTTGTTGAGACTGATTTTACATCTGCTGAAGATAATGAGTATTTTCCCTGACTGTAAGGGGATCAGATTAGGCCTAACATTTTTAAAACAAATCCTTCAAGTTTCTTTTTAAATAGATTACCTAATATTCTCCCAAAGAAAGTGATGAAATATTCACAAGTAGATTGCTCTTTAGCTGCTTCATCCAAAGCTAACCTGATGAGTGACTCTATTTGCCTAAATAACCAGAAGGCTTTTTTCCTTCCTCTTTAGTTATCCAAAGGCTTACAAGGACACACCAAAACCAAACTTAAAGCATACATCCCTGTAGAAAAATTGTAAACGCTAGGCATCACTTAAGAGGACATAGTAAGATAAAGAGGTCACACTGGCTAAAATGGTGGTAGGAGTTTTTTTCAGCAAGGCATGAACTGGGTATTATCTTCATTTTTCATACCTCTAACGTTGTAACATTGGAATAAGAGCACTAAAAGTTTCCACAGTTGAGAAAAAGGTCCTCAAAAATTCTCAGCAATGCCACTAAGTTATGCATCCACAGTTAAAATACCTACACACATAATGCAGACCTTCTGATTTCAGCTAGAAACCTTGACAAATGCTTTCCATTGCAGTTAGACAGTTCCGATTCCAATATGCAGACAAAAAGAAGATGGTGAAAATGTAACAATAAAACCTGCAAATATTTAAGGTATGAGAGAAATTTCTTGAAAAAGTATAAATGTTATCAATATATTGTTAAAAATCTAATCACCCATCCCTAAAAATATACCAGTATAAAATAATAGGATTGTCGGTGTCCTGTTTGTCACCCTTTTACAACCATATTTTATATGGGCATAGGCAGATGACACGGATGAACCAGATCCAAATGAGATAAGCAGCATTATGTTTGTATGGCCACGCGACCTGGACGCCAGCACTGCTCTAACGTTTCCTTTTCTTTGCTATGGCTGGATAGAATCAATTTAATGCATTCTTGTTCCCATAAGACCAACAGCAGCTCTACTTGCCCAGCCTTATTCACTTCAAGGATTAATTATTTTCCCAAACAGTATCTCAAATTCTTCTGCAACCCCTCAATGAAAGTTCATTACACATTATTTTTTGTACTTTTATCACTCTTTATGTTCACTAAGTGGCAGTGTTTTCTCCCAGTTGGCCACTCTCCAAGTTAATGTTTGTCAAGTTTTCCTCAGTTATACACTACACATTTTTTTGATCTTCTATAGCATGTCTCTTTCTTCATGCCATTCCTGAGGCCAGGAAAGGTTTTCTAGCAAACATTGCCTCCCTTCAGAAAGGCTATGCTTATTCTCTTTTCCAGAGTCTGAGAGTTTCACATTGGTGACCTTTTTGCCCACCTCTGCAACTATTTTGGCACATGAAGGTTTCATCTCTCATTTTGAAATTGCAAATATAGTTGCGTTAGCCCTATCAGTAGCCCAACCAACCCATGTTCTTCCTACAAATGTAGAAACAAGCTTTGTCAGGGCACAGCTGGCCCTGCAGACCTACTCTCTTATTTGAGACAGAATAAACTTTTCCATCTGGTATGATTTGCACATGTGGTGGTACACTCTGTGTTCGAAACTCAATAATCACAGCTGCCCAGTGCTGTCCCTTGCACAGTGCTCACTCCTGCAGATGAGAAGTAGGTAACAGTTAACAGAGAAGCCCCTTGGCTCTTCTATAATATAACATCAGTAAATGTCATCCAGGAGGCATTCAAACACCCCCTTGCAACGTTTAAAGATGCTTTTATAAATTTAGTATAATGATCCTTGAGAATGTTCTCCCTTTTTTCCTTCTTCTTCTTGGTTTTTTTGTTGTTGTTGTTTTGTGTTTTTTTTAAATAGGTGAATTGCAGAAGATGGGGCCTCTAGGAAATAGAATAAAAGTAGAATTGGACCATCTTCCAGCACAAAATAATTGACACCATGCCTGCTAATGAAAACCTGTACACTCATGAAAAAGGAACAGATATTTTGCTTTGCCTGAACACCTCTCTTTACCTTATCTTTTTTTTCTCTATTTTGTAGTGCGACTATCAAGAAAGAATTATGGGATTGTACACAGGAAAATAAAAAGGACTATGAACCTAAAGCAGAGATCATCTGTTGCTTGTGCTAATGACTGCTTAGAAAGTACACATTTCAAAACTCCTTTTTATTCTGTCACAGAATCATAGGGCAGTTATCTTTAATAGCCATTACTCGGACAGATATATAAAGAATATATTATTTCTCTAGCAGTCGTTATCCTATCAAAAGAATAATCCTTAAATGCTTTATGTCATTCACTTTAGTTTTTTCAAGGCTGACAACATTTTGAATAAAGTGCTCTGCCATTCATGGGAGGTGTAAGCCCATAACTGGAGGATTTTTTTGCTTTTTTCAAACTGCTTGCAATGTTAAAAACCAACTGGTGAAGAGGTGGACGTACCGGGCCAGGCTTTGTGAATCAGTGTAGCTATATTGACATGAAAGTTTTACATCAGCTGAGCATCTGGTCCTTATGGTTATGAACAACAAGAGAGAACTGGCTTTTCAAGCCCATCGTGGCAAGAGACATTTAAAGAGTAACAGCTGTTCCACTTTCCCTTGGCTGATTTGGACTTGTGATTTTTTATGAATCTGCACAATATGCCTACCCAAACACTATAAACATTTGCAAATGACCTGCTACGCAATAATTTTGCCCTAATTTATGTTCAAATTTTGACTGCATAAATACATCTACTTTCATTAACTAGCATACAGGTAGCAGTACTTACCTGTGATCTAAATGATGAATAGAGAGAATAACCCCTGAATTCAAATGGGCTTGTTTTAAGGTCACCAGGATTGTGAATTCATATTTATTTCTTAACTTCTGAAAAAAGATTTCAGCTGTTTCTGGAGATGCCTTTACACTTCTTGAAGTATCTAAAAAAAAAAAAAAACTATAACAGAAAAACTCTCAGTATAAAATCTTGTTTTACTTTACATCCTCAACAAAATTACAAGCTACTTCTGAGGAGCACAACTGAACAGACGGGCAAAAGCAGGGACCAAAGTATTTTAAACACCGGCTTTTACATGCAATGTGAGCCATCTCAACGAAAGAGAACACATTTTCTAGGACACCCATTCTATTCGGGGGGGTGTTTTGTTTTTACGACAGGGTCATAACTCTTTTACTTTCTCCATGGATGGCCAGATGGTACCTTTAATATCTCGTCCAAAATATGGACTCACTAGCAGTGAAGCAGAGAGTGACAACACTGGATATGAGCCTAAGCTGTGAAGCGCGACCTGAGTAACTTTTTAATGACTCCTACAAAAATGTTATGCTTAATAGCTATGCACAATTAATTTAAAAAAAAAAAAAAACAAAACACAACAAAGAGCAGCATCTCTTTAGGGACAATTTACTCAGCTTTAAGTAATAGTTATAAATAAACTTGAAAACTCACCATCTTTCAAAATATATTGTTGCTAATTAATCACTATATACTCCAGTTGTGCAGTATGTTGCTGCTGCTTCTTTCACAGGATGTTGTGAACATTTGTTAGAGTAATTGCACACACACAATGAAGATTTTGCTTTTAAAAACCCCCACACAATCAAGACTGAAGCAATGTTTCTGCTGAATTTGCATGGAACATGCATAGAAAATAAAAAGGCCCAACCTTAAGCCCTCTAGAGAGATAATTTACAAAATAAGATGTCAAATGCTAGAAAAACAATTCCCAAGGTTTTCCACAATACATTATACTAGAAAAAAATTAATATATATTTTTAATGCACCAAATCAATTCATTAGTGTGTGTAATCAACTGTGTAAGAACGAAATCATTTCACAAGCTTCTTGTCATTGCAATTTGACCATCCTGCTCTAATTCAGGGACACTAATTCAGGGACAGCAACAGCAGCAGAGAGCTAACTGCAATAGAAACTGTGATTTCTTTTGACAGCGCTGGAGCTGAGCTCTCAAGTAAGCTTACACTGCTGTTCTTAAAAACAGGTTTATTCTTTAAGCTGCACCTATGAAGATGCTACTCTGTATTAACAGCAAACAGTTTATTGTGGTTTATGGACCAGGAATATTTTGTAATATGTGTTTAAGAAATGCAACAACCTGTACAACCCTAAAGTCCTAACCAAGCTCCTGCACAGTGTCACACCAGGCTGAATTTGATTCATTTTTTACAAAGGGGAATCCAAAAGACAAAAAAAAGGGGAAAAAAAAAAGGAAAGAAAAGATAATTTAAAGCTTTTTTTTGGTGAAACTTCACGTCTTTTCTACTGTGGCTTGTGTAACTCCCTCACTGTAGCAAAATTCCATAGTATTTCAACGGAATTGTTAATAAATCATAAGGCAACTCAAATACAATTACATCAAAGCGTTCATTTTTAGCCAAGGGACACTACCAGAGTGGAATGACATAGGTTTGCATGCTGGAAGATAGTTTAACTGCATTAACAATTTCTAGCAATATAAACAATCTACTCCCAAGAGACAGAGGAAGGACACACAAGGAACATATTCTCTAATCACGATCACAGGATCCTCACGCACTGCAGCTCTCAGCAGCAGCTTTCCTACCAAGATACAGAAGAACACAGGAAAATACAGATGTGGAACTCACTTCAAAGCCTATAGAGTCCAATTCCTAGATGCAAAGCACATCCTCCAACCCTGTCTGCCATGGAGCTGGGTTTCTCATCTTAGAAAGCCCAGCCAGCACCTTCTTCTATTGCAGGTTCACTATCATTAGAGCATCTACAGAGTCTGCTTTTGGGCCCACAAACGTATTATGTTTACACTGAAACAAAAACAATCTCATTTTGATTAATGACAGATGATCTGGCAAAGTATAATCAAACTATATTTGTGCGCTTGTGTGCGTTGTCAAAAGAGTGTTTGCCCTGAGGGGCAGAGCCCCCCTGCCTGAAGGGCTTGCAGCCTCAGAAGCCTCAGTCAGGATGAGCAGTGCAACTTTAAATAAAAGTGGGAGAACAAAACCCAGAGCAAGCTGAGACCACTGGAATGCGGGAAGTCATCTTGCTTACATATTAATAATTGTTACTACTTTGTAACAACACTCTTGTCCCTCCAACCGCCTTTTATGCTTCTTTTATGCTTTCTTGGTAGAGATATTTCACTTTGCCGTCAGTAGACAATGAGATTATAGAAACCAAGCCTATAGAGTATACACCATTAACACCCCATGCTTTTTCAGCCACGGTAATTCAATCTGATTCCCCCTCGCCTGAAACATTGCAGGAGTTGCTAGGGGAAAAGGGAAGGGTGGAGAAAAAGGGCTATGAAGATGATTGCCACATCATCATCATCGCTCACCTCCCTGCCATTTATACAGGGCTGATAAAGCACACATCCACGTGAATGTGATAGTGAAGAAGCTGCATAGATCCTTCATCCAACAGCTTCTGTGTCTGGTCACTTCAGTCTCACTCTGATTTAGAGAGTGAGCACACGGGAATCTATCGAGGCATTTAGGTACTGAATAGATACTATCAATTTCTATGAATGTATATTGGAGTTGGACACACAATATGGTTTAATATGGCAGCAGGAAAAGACAGGAGGTATACATATCAAATGTGAATTTGATGGGAAGACAGGAGATAGGAAGAGGGTTGGAGGGAAAAAAAGTCAAGCAAGACAAAAAAGAGAAAGTCATGTCAGAATTGTGGGAAATAGCAGGATTGCAGAAATTGGCTGTTCTTGTTCTGTTCCCATTGACTCCAATGGATTTCTTTCAGGTTCCCTCAAGACAATGAAATGGTACCAAGAAGGAAGATGAGAAATGCAGAACAACTACCCAGGAAAAGAGGAGGTATACATATCAAATGTGAATTTGATGGGAAGACAGGAGATAGGAAGAGGGTTGGAGGGAAAAAAAGTCAAGCAAGACAAAAAAGAGAAAGTCATGTCAGAATTGTGGGAAATAGCAGGATTGCAGAAATTGGCTGTTCTTGTTCTGTTCCCATTGACTCCAATGGATTTCTTTCAGGTTCCCTCAAGACAATGAAATGGTACCAAGAAGGAAGATGAGAAATGCAGAACAACTACCTTTTTCCAAGAATCCAGATTTTCCCTGCACAGTTCTGAACGCTGGAAGATGCTAGAGTGCCTCTCTGTCCCAGTTACCCTCTGGTTTATCCCTCTACATCGTTCCTAGTTTTAACTACTATCACACCCTACCAGTGGAAATCATAAATGCTCTATGCTGGAAGTGGAAAATAGACCACGAAGACTATGCTTACTTAACAAAAATAAAATCCACAACTTTTCAATTAGAAAGAAATATTAATTTCTACCAAATTCCTATGATACTCTCATTAGCACCTGATGAAAGAAAGTATATATAACACCCCTACCATTATACAGGGACAGTTCCAGTCACACATAAATAATTGTCTCCCCCTCCTACATGCACTTTTATTCTAATTGGAGCTATTGGGATGCAAACACTGTGCTACAGATGGCCAGTGCTTTAGCAAGGAAACAAACCCTCGCCGTCAAGTGGAGCTCTCCAGAGCCCTCCCAGTCCTCATTGCTGCACTGAGAGAGGAGGAGGAAAACAGATCTGCCTCTATGCCCACAAGAGAGGAATCTTTTTTGAAGTCTACCCTGTAAATCATTACCCGACCACTAGGTTGGACAAGAGTTTTCCATCCTTTTATCTGTAAAACCTTATCTGGGTACCCTATAATCATTCATCATGGCCTTACACTACCTTCTTGTATACAGATAAAAGTATCAAGACCTGATTAGATCACACTGGAAGCCTATATATTAAGATTATCGTCACATTAACTGCTGGAGTATTAAATTGCCAAAAAACATGGCCACTCGCTTTTGGTATTGTAAATAGGTCAGTTCATACTTGCTGTACCAAAGAGCTACACAGCCTTTTGAGTTATTACTACTCTGATGAAGCACAGCACCCTTTGCTCAGGGCAGGCACCAGGTGGATTTCTTAAAGAAAGACCACTGAAAGGTCCTTGATCCATTAGATCCATTCTTTTTACACTAACACAACAGTGCAAATCCCTCATTCCAATTGCCTTTGAACACTAGCGGTAGGTGCTTGATAGATCACCAGCTGCGCTCAATAAATACTGATTCGGGCTTGTTCTTGACATTTGGCTTCCAGTAATCATTTTAAGACCCGAGGAAAATACTTTACTGGAACTGGACTTCTTCTATAATAGCCTGGAAAATCAAACTGGTAGATATCAGATAATAATTTGTGGTTTCTCAACAGTTACATAAAAACCTCATACTGTGAATATTTCTAATACACAAAACCAAAGGCATAAATCTTTTGATATTAGAATGCAAAAATAAGGAGACAATTATTAGTTTGAATGAGACATTTGTCTCTAGCCATGATACTTATATATTGGGTTTACTTTCCTAGAATATGGCATGTGTCTGGTTTGACCACACCATGACAACTCACAAACCCATAGTGTCAACACTCCATCTTTAATTTACAGACGAACGAAGTGCAAAGTGACAATGAAAGAAACAAATACCCAAACTCAAAGCATGTTGCACTTCTTGTTCAAGTCAAAGGTTGTAGCATGGAAATGCCTTTAGAAGGAATAATAACACTCATGTGGTAACACATGTGGCTGGGTTGAGACATGCAAGTTAGCAAAAGTACTGAAAACAACACAGCAGACTGGGGGAAGGAGGCTGGAAGAAGAGAGAATTTCCTCTTACCGTGGTCTGCAATGATAACGATTTAGAAGGACACAGACAAACAGTAGGTGGTGGTCAACCTTCAGCTGCAACATCTAGTTATGAGGTGATCAGCTGGCCACAGGCGCAGAAAACCAAGTCTTTTAAGATCTAACATTGCAAAGCAATCTGAAAACCCAGTGAAGAAAATCACTGACCATAAG